ATCAAAGCAATCAAAGAGTTCTGAGTACAATTCGTGAAGCAATTTTTGAAGAAGAACAATGACGGATTGCTCACTGCACAAAAGGCAAAGATGCATGTGATATTCTTAGTCAAGTCCATGAAAGAGGAGAGTCATCTTCATCACCATCCATCAACTTTCATGCCTTAGTTGCTCGATTGGATGAGATCGAGAAAAAAGAAAAGCAAAAAGAAGATGATGAAACCTCGGAAGATAATAATGAGATTGATGGTGATGACCCACAACAAGCTTATGAAAAGCTTTACAATGAATCTCTGAACTTGTCCAAGATCAATGACAAATTGACCTTCAAGCTCAAAGCACGCGAAAGCGAGAATGTCAAGCTAAAGAGAGAGATTGCTACAACAAAAAATGATGTCATCAAGAAAAGATATCAATCAAAAAAGGATGTCATGAAGACCCGAAGATGTCTTCCTATGTCTTTGACTCTTTTTTCCACATATCAATCGTGGCTCTAGCATCTTTGAGTTTGTCCTCTTTCTGACCGACCTTCTCTTCCAATGCAGCTTGTGACATCTCAAGGATCTTAATCTTCTCTTCATATGTGGCATAGATTTTCAGAAGTTCATTCCTTTCGGTCTCACGAGGTAGAAGTTTTTCACATAGGTCTTGCCTGTCATTGGAAATCTTGATGGCATCATTTTTTGCTTTAGCAATCTCTCCCTTTAGCTTGACATTCTCGCTTTCATATGCTTTGAGCTTGACGGTTAGTTTGTCATTGATCTTGGACAAGTTCAGAGATTCATTGTAAAGCTTTTCATAAGCTTGTTATGGGTCATCACCATCAATCTCATCATTGTCTTCCGAGGTTTCATCATCTTCTTTTTGTTTCTCTTTTTTCTCGATCTCATCCAGTCGAGCAACTAAGGCATGAAAGTTGATGGATGGTGATGAAGATGACTCTCCTCTTTCATGGACTTGACTAAGAATGTCCCATGCATCTTTGTCTTTTGTGCAGTGAGCAATCCGTTGTTCTTCTTCTTCAGAAATTACTTCACGGGTTGTATTCAGAACTCTTTGATTGCTTTGATTGTCAACACTTTTAACATGCTCTTCAATTACTTGCCAACCTTCAGGGTCATGAGCTCTAAGATACATCCTCATTCAAATCTTCCAAAATAAGTAATTACTTCTATCAAAGGTAGGAGCACGGTGCAGACTCTGACCACGAGCAAAATCAACTGGCTTTGGAGATGGTTGAGTGATGGTAGACCAGAATGCCATGTAGGTACTATCTCCGTCTTCATCGGATTCGGTTTCTTCGAGTTCTTGCTCTAACCTGCTTTCATCATCCCAAGTCACTGTATAGACTTTCTTGTTGTTCTTTTTTGATGGACATTCAAGTGCAATATGTCCAAACCCTTGACATTCACAGCACTTGACACCTTGCCCCTTCACAGTCTTCTTATTTTTTGGAACAACTTTTGATGGAAAAGTTTTAAATTTTTCATTACCCTTATCTTTTGAACTAGAGTCTTTGAAATTAGACTTCTTTTTCTTTAAATCTTTTTGAATTGTTTGGTAAACATCGCCGTCATTTCGGACTCTAGATCAAACTCAACCTCAGGGGTTTTAGCAGTCTCATGAGCACTGGTAAAAGCCATACTATCTTTTTGTTTTTTCTTAAAAATCTGGTTGGCTTCATAAGTGTGCAAGTTTCTAACCAACTGATCAAGCTTGAGGTTCTCAACATCCTGAGCCTCCTCAATAGCTGTCATTTTTTATTGGAACTTCTCGAGTAAATGAGGCAAAATTTTTCTAACCTTCGATTTAGGGATTTTTTCTCCGAATGTAAAACAAGAATTCGCGATGTCATTAAGTTTAGCATAAAAATATCAAACGTCTCATCATCACGCATAAAGAGAGTTTCAAAAGAGGAGGTGAGACGTTGAAGTTTTGATCTTTTAACAACAGTAGTACCCTCGTGAATAGTTTCAGAAATGTCCCAAGCCTCTTTTGCTACCTCACACGTGCAAATACGACGAAACTCGTCTGGTGTGACGGAGCAAAAGAGGGAATTGAGAGTTTTACTGTTCCAGCTCAAGTTTTGATAATCGATTGCGTCCCATCTATCGAGTGATTTGGGGATATCAACACCATCAATGGTGACAACAAGTTACTTCACCCATAGATCACACACAATGCCAAACTTTCTAATCGGTAGATTTTAAAAACGCCCTCATATGAGTTTTCAATATGAATAGTTTGTACCATCAAGTAAAGGAGGTCTATGGGTCAAGTTACCTTCGCGAATTAAATCCATATCACAAAATCACAGTCTTATAGTTTTGATAAAAATGAAGAGTGACCTGCTCTGATACTAATTGTAAAACCTAAGTGATTCATGATTCTGATCAAGATTAATTGTGACAATACCCAAACAATTAAAACTGACAATCTAAATTATCTACTACATACGAAAGTGATTTAGATTGTTGCTTCAAAATCAATAAATCCACACAACCGATTTTTACGTGAAAAAATCACAATTGGAGCACCTCTAATTGTGATTAAAAAAATCACGGGCAAAATGCCACTAATCAATCCACTAAGAAAGAAAGAAGGAAGGAATACAAATTAATCAAAACAAATTATCCAAAACGCAACCAATTTGTCTTCAACAATATGTATCTCTTTCACCACCGCTTTCGTCTCAGAATTTGATTAGCTTGATGTTGAATCCACGACATCCATGTCGAATTAACGACTGCACGCAACTTCAAACTCCTTCGAAGAAGAAACACTCTTGTTATTGAATAATCAATCACCTCTTTGATGTATACTTGTTAAACCATGAGTTTAATACTCAACATAACATCAAAGAAAACTAGTAAAGTTGCTCCGGAAGAAAACCCTAGAACCCTTAAAGAAGATCTGGAAGTCGTACTCTAGATTTGGAGCAAACTGCACCTTTATAGCAGTTGGATATGCGATCTTCGCTCGAGCGCAGGAATGGCCGCTCGAGCGGTGTAACCAAAACGCGTGTTCCATAACCAAAACGCGTGTTCCAAACCAAGGTCCATGCTTGAGCACTGGAACATACGCTCGAGCGCAAAATCACACCTTACAGTATTTTTTGCAGACAAGCCAAACTACTGAGAAGGTGAAAACTCCGCTCGAGCGCAACTTTCCCCGCTCGAGCGAGAAGACCAAAAAACAACGAAAAATACGACTCGATTAACCCAAGCTTGTTCGCGGAATTGGCAATAAGTAGGGACCTAACAGGGTTTATGCTTGGTAGGTCAACAATGAAAACGATTTATCTGTTGAGGAGAGTAATAGAAAAATATAGAGAAAAGAAAAGAGACATTCATATGGCGTTTATCGACCTTGAGAAAGTACATGATAGAGTGTCTCAGGATATAATATGGTCAGTGTTAGAGAGGAAAGGGGTGACAAAAGGTTTCATTGATGTGATTAGGGACATGTATGAATGAGTGGTGAACACTATTAAATCGCCTGCTAGAGAGATAAATGAATTTCCTATCACTGTAAGGTTACATCAAGGATTTACCTTAAGTCCTTATCTTTTTGCGTTAGTTATGGATGAGTTGATGAGAAATATTCAGAATGATATGCCATGGTATATGTTTTTACAGATGATATCGTGTTAGTGGATGAGACTAGAGAAAAAGTTAACACAAAGTTAGAGATTTGGAGAAAAATACTTGAATCTAAAGATTCCGGATAAGCAGAACTAAGACAGAGTACGTGGAGTGTAAATTTAGTAACAATAACAATGAAAGCAGAGAAGAAGTGAAGATTGAGAATCAAGAACTGCCTAAGAGTAAATATTTTCGTTATTTAGGATCGATTATCACAACGATGGGGGAGATTGATGCGGATGTGGCCCATAGGATTAAGGTGAGATGGCTTAAGTGGAGAAGTGCGTCTGGGGTACTGTGCGATAAACGAATACCCATTAGACTAAAAGGTAAGTTCTATGGAACTGCTATTAGACCAGCGATGTTGTATGGAATGGAGTGTTGAGCAACCAAGAAACATGTCGATAAGATGAGTGTTGCTGAGATGAGGATGCTAAGGTGGATGTGTGACAAAACTAAACAAGACAAAATTAGGAATGAGTGTATTCGGAAATGGGTAGGAGTAACACCGATAGAAGATAAGTTGAGAGAGAATCGATTGAGATGGTTTGGTCATCTTTAACGGAGACCAATAGAGGCAATAATGAAGAGATGCAGTGCAGTGATGGTAGATGGAAGTGTTAGGGGACCGGATAGGTTTAAATTAACGTTGGCTAGCATTGTAAATAGAGATATGAATTTATTTAATTTGACTAACGAAATGCCATTTGATGGAGTCGCGTGGAGAAGAAGGATTTATATAGCCGACCCCATTTGATGGGACTTAAGGATTCGTTTGGTTTGGTTATATATACATACATATATATATATATATATGTATATATGTTTTTAACAGTTCAAGATGGAAATCTTATTGCTTATGTTATAACACTACACCGGTGACAAGATCACTGGAAAGTATTTGTTAATACCAATCATTTGTAAGTACGGATTTCCAAATTGATTATAAAATGTGCATGACAATCAGTAGAATGTATATGCCTGAACCACCGTGTGTTAAGATATTTTACATGTTTGGCTATTCATATTTGATTTGGTTCTGTAAAAGCTGGTGTGTCCCATTGTATATGGAGAAGACCTACTTCAAGAAGAGGTTGTTGATATCCAGTTATCTAGTAGTTTTAAATAACTTCGCAAAGTTTATAAAAGAAAAACAACTTTCATAGTCATCATTTACATTATATAAACCGGCCTAGGAAAATTTTAATTTCTTTTATAAGATTGCTGTTACAAAATAGTTTCAGTGTTGCATTGCTTGCAATTGTCAAAATTACTCTTTTATCTCTTATTTCAAATAATAACATATTGAAATATTATTATTCATGTTTCCCTGATTCTATTCCTGTTCTACAACAGGTATTACTGCTTCTTGGTGCCCTTGACAATTCCTATTCTTCTTGTTGCTGTATATTTTCATTGGCTGAGTATGAAATTTTTCAAGCATGCATGATTTTATATTCACAAGGTCAAAGACTGTCTGCTATGAGTGTGTTTGATATATGGTTTCATAATGTATTTATCTTTGCACATTTTGTATTGGATTTTCTTTCAATGATAGTGACTTGTTGGGATAGATCTTATACACGTGGAGAAAGAAGCTGGGGGCAAAATTGTAATTGTAGCCATGCTTTTTTAAATTTTTTTTTCGTAAGTTTGTATGATGCAATTATTTTAGATTCCCACCATTTTCGCAATTATTTATTCTTTCCATTTTTCTGCAACTTGGCCAAACATAAACCCAACAAAACATTACATTGTGTACTCTTTCTCTCTCTCTCTCTCTCTCTCTAAATATAGACACTAGTGGTGGGTACAATACATTAAAAACATTTGAACAGTTTGATGAATGAAGAGGATATGGACACTAGTGGTGGGTACAATACATTAAAAACATTTGAACAGTTTGATGAATGAAGAGGATGAGTTATAAATACATTTTGAAGTTATTCTATTATAATAATATTTTTTGGGTATAAGAAAATAGATATTTATATAGGCTATCCCACAGACATCGCATCTATAGGGAACTCTTCGCACTTGTGTCGGGGCGAAGTTAAGGCTTCCTTGTGCTCTGACTGTTGAGAAGTATATTTAAATCTAACGAGAGATTATGGCGACTTGAATAAGAAATTCAAAGGTCTTATCACTCAACAATTTTCCGTTGGTCTATTATAATAATTTGTGACTACTTTTATGAGCATTGTCGAAAAAGAAAAATGTTACAAAACAAACTTTTGAATTGTGTAGATATATATAGGATAATTACCATTTAAGAGGTTTTTTTAAAAATTACTATACATTAGTGAAAAAGTTTGTAATTTTAGTTATTAATATTTATCACTTTTTGTAAATATTTTTTTTTTCCTAACAATCACTAATGTGTAATTATATATATATATATATATATTTTAAAATTTTCTATCTCATATATGTCTTCATAGCTCAATGGACAATGTATGTTTAATATTTGCTTCCACTAACCCTTAATTTTGTAAATTTGTTTAAGAGCCCTTTGATAATCTTACGATTACTGGCCGATCATGATGCTAAACCTATAGGGATGGGTTTGGGTCTTGACAAAGTGGTATTAGAGCACGAGTTAATATCTCACTCACTTGTCCATTGAGCGCACACTTTAAAATGATCAAGCATCTAAAATTTTGTTCATAATGGTTTATAATTTTCAAAGATAAAATCGGTTTATAATAATAATAATAATAAAAAGCCCAAAAAAGCTTATAACCAAGCATACTAAGACCTGATTTGACATATTCTAAATAATTTAAAAAGTCAAAAAGTTACTAAACAAGTTAAAAAGTTATCATTATTCACAAAAAAATAATAATTTTATACACAAATTATTACAACTCAGTCTGACGTCCCACAAATTGTTGTTGAGTTTTTTGGAAAAATTGCACAGGCGGGGTGCACAAATAATACGGTGCTGTTCGGCCCATGAGGGCCCATCACGGGTCCCGTTTTGATAATCTGAACCGTTCAATGTGTAGAACTCGTCGAGTACTATATCTCTATAAAAAATCACGTTGATCGGATATCGCTAATTACATGATCAAATCAGCTTTGTATAAAAAAATGGATGGTGTTATAATTAACGGTTGGAAAAAAAACTAATCCAATCAGATAGCTATCGATATTCGATCAACGTGATTTTTTATAAGTATATAGTACTTGACGAGTTCTATACATTACGGTTCAGATTATCAAAACGAGACCTGTGATGGCTCTCACGGGCCGAATAGTACCGTCTAATGCAACGCCCCAAAAGTAGGCAACCATTTCTTATCGTCAATTCACTCTACCCAGACAGTACGGCTGTACTGCCTACTGTCCTTATCTTCTCCTACACATTAATTTATATAATTTTTTAATACACATTTTTTCGTAAAAAGTCAAAAAGTCATGCCAAATAATCATATTTTTTTCCTCAACTTTTTAGTCTAAAAATTCAAAAAGTATACTTATTTAAGGCATTCCAAACAACCCTTAAAATTTATATCCAGAAGCCATAAAATCAGAAATGGCCCATCTCTATATTACTATCTTTCATATTTTTTTGTTTGTACTTCATTTTGTGGGCTCTATTTTTGGCTTACAACGATGATCTAAATCATTTATCTCGTAAACCTAACATTGAAAATCATCTGTGTAAAAAAAAAAAAAAGAGAGTTTCATTAGATGTCGATGAAAAGATGAATAAATTGCATTTGTTTTATAAAATAAATGATTTAAGTTTAAACTTATAGTTGTCATACATTTTACTAATAAAATATAATTTGTTCATATATTTAGTGATATTTAATGAAATTAATTTTTTACAATACTCATCTTTATTATTGTGCATTCGAGATGAACGATTTGAATTATTATTGTGGGCTATAGATAAGACTCACAAAATGGAGTCCGGAGCGAGCCATAGATCAATTTGATTCATAATTAATAAAGGTAATTTTGATTTAAAACCAATCACTACAAAGTCTCTCATGGACAATCTTCACAAATTTTGTGTTTTTATTTATTTATGACATTCTAACACTTTTTGACAAAAAAATCACCACCAAGGCTCATATCATAAATACTATATGATTCACAATCAAGATCAAGGTGATAGAGGTTTCATAATTAAGGTCTATGGTATATATTTCTTTATGGGGTGTGTAGAAAAGGAAGTTTTTCTAGACTCTTGTCTGCTTGCTTTTCAAACTCAAAACTGCATTTAAATTTTATATATTTTTGTGTGTGTTTTATTTTTAATGATTTGTTTTTATTTTATATTTTACTAAATTTTTTTATATATTTTTAGATGTTCCTAATTTATATATATATATATATATATATTTAAAAAGTAAAATATTTGTGAAGAAATCTAGAAAAAAATTACTAAAAAAAAAAAAAAAAAACGATAGTAAATTTGATGTTTATGAATAAATTTGAAAAAAAAAATTCACTAAAGACTTAAAAAAAAAATTCTAATTTTTTTTTGTTTTTTATTTTTTATTTTTTGCAGTTTTAGTGATTTTTTTACATCACATATGGAGCTAATGTGTTAGTGATGTGACAAATTCTGTTACTTTTTTTTATGGAAGTTAGTTTAGGAGTAAAGTGAGAATGATTGCAAACATGATGGACCAAAGTGGAAAAGATTACAAATATAAAGGGTCAAAGTGGGAAAAATCAAACTCAGGGCCAAAGTGGAAAGAATTGCCAACATGAAGGACCATAGTGGGGTAATTCTATTTACACACCTTTACTTGTCTTAGTATACATCATTTACTTAGTTCAAACCATACACATATTACAACTTTTAATTTTATCTCAATACACACAAATAATTTTCTTATAATACTAAACTACCATCATCTTCTCTAACAAACCCTAACCTTAACCATCACTGGCAAATACCGCCTCCCATTGGCGTCGTTCCCTTCTCAGCCTTTCTCAACTCTCACGGCTGTTGCCCCTTCCCAGTCTTTCTCCCCCGCTATTGTGGAACTAATATGATACTATGTTTATATTTTTATGAAATTAAAATATTCTATATATTTTTTTGTTATTTAATTATGTGAATCTGTGATCTTAAACCGATCCAATCCGTGTTTAAATGAATTGGTTCGGATTGGTTCCATGATTTGAACGGATTGGATTAGTTTCAATTTTTCAAAAATCGTAGATAATGGATTGGTTTTAATTTTATCTTAATCCGGACCATACTTACCCTTAATCTAAATGTTGAGTTGAGTCAATTAAACAATAGGAATTACTTAATTCAACACAACTCCCCTATAAGTTCGTAATTTAAATTTTGTAAAGATAATTTATTTATATAACATTACTCAATCATATTCAAACCTTTAAGTTCATTCTATATTTCACAAATACATTGATACAGCACATCAAAGAGGAGGTCATTAAATTGTAATTCACCGTTATAGTTATGATTTAGTTTAGAGTTGAACCGAACCATTTATATATGTATATATATATATATATATATATTATTAGTTATTTCTTGTAGGAGGCACTCGAGTATTTTAGGACCTGGTATTACTGTTGTGAGTAAGTCATGACAATAATTGTTGTGAGCTTCCTTGGGACATTATTCCAAGCTTATTTTGATAATTTGAATTGTTCATATTGTAATGTTTGTCCAACATATCATTCATGTAAAAAATCAAGTTAATCGGATATTTACAATCCCATGATCGGGTTTTAATTATTTTTTAAAATATTCTTCAAATCATACTAGCCGTTTATTTTTTATAAAAAAATATGATCTTGTTATAGGACTACAAATATCCGATTAACCTAATTTTTCCTCATGAATAATTTACTCGTCGAACCTTACAATATGAACTACTCGGATTATTAAAATAAGCTTGAGATAAGTCACAACAGACCTCACATCATTTACTCCTGTGGCTTACTCACAGCAATAACCCCGGTTCCATTATCTCATATATGTTCATGAGTTCTTAACCATCTTCTCTTACAAGAGTACTATTGTATAATAGTTTTTAACAATAATTTAAATAATTCCTGTATGTAAAATGATGACATATTATTTGATGACTTTTTATGATCATATTATTAATGACGATGAGATTTATAAAACTATGATTCCAAATTGAATCAAACTGTATTTTTATAGTTCAATTCTATTTGTGATTTAATTTTATTTTAAATTTTATAAAACTGTAATTTATTTCAAAATCGAATCATACCCAACCATGCTAACTTCTATTAAACTAATGAATTAATGCCATAAAAACTTACTTTATTTAAGGCATGATGCAGAAACAAAGTTGTAATGATAATAAAAATTTCTTTAAAGGTCTTCTTTAATCATTTGGATATTTTGTGGCACCTTTTTAGGTATGAAACCCTTGCCTCTTTATTCAGAGCCAGGTGCAAAGAGAAGATTCTCATCCACATTCTTCATCCATGTTATGACTTTTTAATGTAATTCAAAAAAATAAAAATAAAAATAAAATTGTTTGGATCCATGTTAAGGAAGGAGCTGTAAATAGGCATATTAGTTATGAATTTAGCAATCTTCCATATTATTAGTCTTTTTAATTTATGCATATATATATAAAAGAAGAT